GCTCGAGCTCTCTTTTATCTCGTGTACTTTGCGAAACACCAACGAGCCGTTGTTGCCCGCTTGGCACAGTGGCGAGAGAACGAGCAAAAGATCAGTAACTAATAGATAGGTCTCTCTGATCCCTCGAGATCGGACAAAGGAGCGAACGGTCAAGTAATAATTTCAGCTTGGATTTGGAAGGACCGAGGAGCGCGCGACGAATAAGCCGGTAGAGAGCCTCGGCCGACCCTCCGTTTTTCGAAATCTACGGCGTCGTCCGTGGGACGTCCATTGTCCGAATACGGGGAATGAAAATTCCCGCACGCTTTCGTATCTTCGAGTCGAGTTTCACGGGTTTCGTCGTGGACTTTTGTCACTCAAACGCATCAAATCAAATTTATCGCATTAATTCTCGGTTAATCCGCGTCATCACAAGAGAACTAATGATGATCTCATATGCGCGCGCGCAGATTAACGCTATCTCGACGGGCAAAATATCAGATATCTGTGAAATAACAAAACGTTACGCATAGACAAACATGTTTCCTCTATTTTTCTCATACCTTTATGACACCACGTGTAAGAGAAATATGAAATGTATCGTTGTATAAATTTCAGTAATTTTCGTCAGAAATTACAAACCGCTGATTTTTCATGGCTTTGTAATTCCGGTGTTAATGAGCTGAAGCGACACACGTGCCGGGTGTTCCGCACATTATGACACGTTGTGTCTACGTGCATCTGTGTGTGTGTGTGTGTCCTCGCTCAAGCAACGATCGCGACAACGTGCCAATGTGGAACGTGACGAAAGAGAGATCTAATTCGGAGACGGAGATGGCCGATTCGCGACAGAGAAACTCGCGATACGCGATGACGCGGTGATAACTCGACTCGAGCTCGAAACACGTTGCATTAACACGGCAAACGCGCACGATAAGACTTCACGCACACCCCGTGTGTTAACAGGAACGCTTTGTTCGGTATAAAGAAAGCGGAGGAGGAAACTCGGTGCATCTAAATATAGAAGTGACTGTCGCGAGGAGCCGCTCGGCCATTAAGCCACGCTCACACCGCCTTTCTCGCATGACCGAGCAATTTGAGATCATTCGGACACACGACGATGTGTTGTAATTCGTCTCTTCGTGTGATTCGTCGATTCGCGCATTTTGCAGTCGATATTTCGACCGCGAGCGAGATACTTTCTCACGGCCCAACCGCATCTTGTATCTGTAACGCGGTAATTACGATTGGCTAAGGCTAAGGCTGACTAAAGGGAGCAAAAGATGCTCAGAAACAGATAAAAAGAACGAAAGTGTGGGATGGATTGAGATATTCTCGAGAAAATTCGTCGTATTCGCGCAAAGCCGAAGCGTTGTCCGAGGACTGTCATTTCATTCAGCCGATACGATGCTCGCGCGAGATATCGTTATTTATAACGGCGAAAATTCAGTGACACCGATGATGATATCGAAGTGAATATTCGACGAATTTTTTATCTGGCATTCCGCTCGGCCGAGTATATTTAATTTGACCGGCCGATGCTGCTCGCCGAGAGAGCTCGCCTCTCCGCGTCTGTCCGCCACAGGCACATCTATCTTTTGTCTACGTCCAGCGGTGCATCTTTACAACTTATAAACCTCGAATACAGTGTGCTCATTCTTCCGCTCATAGAAAAAGATCGCAGAAGAAAAAATGTCCAGTCAGCGGGACATGCCTGGAGGGAAATGGATGTCTGCTGAATCGTTCGTGGGACGATTCGTAAATGAGAGAGGAATGTCTTATATATACATATATGTATTTGCCGGTGGAGATATGACGATCGCAGTCACAGCGTATTACAGTGACTGTGGGAATGGACACGGAGGGGTGCTCGGAATCTGCCAGGTTGATTGTTCGACAGAAAACTGGAAGTACGTAAAATGTCCGAAGGGTTAATTTCCATTCACGCGCGAATTCCACCTCGTAAATATCCACCGTCTATCGAAGCGGGAATTTATGCCGTCTGCGTTAAGCCGATTCCGCGACCGGTCCCGGGTCCGATGACAGAACGACGGCACCTTCGGTACCATAAATAAGCGTGAACGCAAAAATTCCAGTCGTTGGAAGTCGCGGCCGATCGCCTTATACGCTCCATAAACACCTCTCGCAACAATACGCGCGTGAAAGAGAGAGAGAGAGCGAGAGAGCGTCGCTGCATGCGCGATAGGGTGCGAGCGAGGAGGAGGGAGGAGAGAGAAGGAAATGTTATTTATTATGCTCGTGCTTCCCGCCTGTGTAAGTACCGCGGGAACACCTTGGGAAAATTTGCGGATCGAAAATAAGGAAAAGAGGATGAGAAGTGGAAGAAGGAGAGAGAACGTTGTGAAGAACTTGGTCGTGGCGCAACCGTTGTAAATAGTCGCGCGAGGAGCGTTCGTTAAAGTCGTTCGGCACGATCATTTGCGTGGCGCAATTGCGTGTACACGTGTAATGTCATCCTACGAATACGTATATTATTGTTACTGACTGAATTACACGCACGGAACCGGGACATGCAAAAGTTCGCAGACGAGCCACAAGCTCCGGCGTGTGATCTAGGAGCCGAAGAAGCCCACTCGGCCAGACAGGGCTAGAATTCTGATTAATTGCCCCTCGTCAAGGGACATCGGAGCATCTCTCAAAGCGAGCGATAGCGAGGGTGAGGGAGAAAGGACGAGGAACAGAGAGCAAGAGAGAGCGAGTTCAGCCGGACTTTGAGGCGGACCTCGCCCGCGCGCCCGCGGTCCGACAATTATTTGATTCGCCTTATCCGCGAGAACGAGTTCTCTCGCAGACGTTCGTTCACCTACGCGCTGCTCTCTTCGACACACCACCATCGTCGTCGTCGTCGTTGTCGTCGTCGTATGGTTGTCGTCGCGACGTGTTTATGAGAAGACACACGAGAAAGAAAGAGAGAAAGAGACAAAGGAAATATATGTATGTACGACGGATGCCCGCCTGCTGACCCGCGTTCCAATGGTTGTCTCATTCCTCTCTCTCTCTTTCTCTCTCTCTCTCTCTCTCTCTCTCTCTTTCTCCCTCTCCATCTTTTTCTCTCTTCTCTCTCTCTCTTTCTCTCTCTCTCTCTCTCAGTCCATTTTCCTCTCTGTCGTTGCACGTGTACTCGCTTACGCCGCGCGCGCTTTATGGCACGGCGATACGCAGAAAAGGATACTGACCGATTGGAAGCCTTTTACGATCAACGCCATACCACGCTACGCCACGCCACGCCACGCCACGTCGTCGACGTCGTCTTCGTCCTCGAATGTGTCTCCTTTCTGCATTCCGCGGGCCGTCGAGGTGACACGATGCATCGGGCCGAGAGGATGATTCGCTCGCGGCGCGCTTTCAGCTACGTACCGTAGATTGCACGATGGCGCGATGGTCGTTCGGATTAAGCAAGCCGGTCTTCGCAATTTGCCCGTTTTTTCTCAAATTATAGTTATAGCTATTATATACGCGGCGAATAGAGACTACTTAAGCATCTTTAGATTTCTCTGTCTCCCTCTTCCTCCGTTTCTCCTTCTCTCCTTCTCACTCTTTATCTTTAAGCAACTTCGGCTTTTAGTAGCACTCCGGAGCAATTTAAATTCCCCGGTCGCCATTTGCCAGCTGGTAATAACTACTCGACTCGAGTCATATTCTCCCGATGCTCACGTACACATTCCATAAACGCTCCGTTCGTTTTATTTTCAAAACACCGCGGCGAGACTATTCATGAGTGAACAATGACCGCGCCGCGAGAGCGGTTTCCTATTTTAAATAACAATGGCAATGCTTGTAAAATAATATTAAGCGAGAGAGTCGTAAACGCGCGGAATATCGCACACGGCCGATCCGCCGTGTACGATTTCACGTCACTCGCCAGGGATCGGTAATTGCGATTACGACTGCCGTCCGCGTCTGCGCTTCGTTCATCGAAAAAAGACACTTATTATTAATTTGGCGCCCACTCGCGCTATCTCGCTGCGAGAAGCGTGAATTGCGTACGAGTGCATAACTGAATTGAAATGCCATCGACACGCGCTCACGTCGCACAATGAGACGCGACGATTCTCATCGCGTAACATTTCGCGCTCTCTCCTCCTCCTCCTTCTCTCTCTCTCTCTCTCTCTCTCTCTCTCTCGAGCGCGCGTGCGATAGTTTTGCGCTGAAAAGGCCAGTACGAAGTAGGCTCTCACCTGGTGTCTCTCTCTTTTTTTCAAGAATCTATCGTCGATTAGTGCCGCGAAAGTGCCATTGCGTGGGGGCAACAATGGCAACTCTCGCAATTCCGCGATAGCCGCTTGCGAATTGCGCTCGTTACTCACAGTAGAGCCGCTTTGCTCGGGATTACGTCATCTTCCTATGACGTCTCGCTCTCTTTTCTCGAGTTTCATATTTTATTTTTCTCTTTTCAATCAGTATTTCCGTGCGCATAACTCGGCTGCCTTCCTTCCCCTCCCTCCCTCTCTCTCCCCCCCTTTGTTCTTATCTTTTATTCTATATATTCCTGCCTAAGCGCGAACGCTCATCCTCTCTTTCTTTCGTGTGTCTTGAATGTTCCGCGTTTGATACTCTTTCGAGTATGCTCTCGTTCGTCTTTTCCTTCATATCGTTCGATTCCACTCATAGTTACACTAGCCGATGCAACTCGCGCTCTTCGATCACGTACGCGCGTACCGTTACGTGGATCTTTGATGAGACTATTTGGACCACTCGTTAGGTCGGCTAAACTGTTCGCCACGCCGGCGAATCCATGTGTGTGTGTGTGTGTGCTTGTATATATCGTACACGTCGTTCTACGACGCAGATGGTACGGTCGGTCCCCGAGAGACGCGTATGTCGTTACGATCATTGATCTGTTTTATTCCTCTCTCTCACACATATAGAACGCGGCGGCCGTGGCTGCTTCGCGATCGTTACTCTATGCGCCACCTTGCCGCGTTCTGGAGATGAAGGGAGACGAAAGGCAGAGGGAAAGAAACAGAGAGAGAGAGAGAGAGAGAGAGAGAGAGAGAGAGAGAGAGAAGTGCCGGTATCGATTCCTGCAAACTATATATCCGCGAAAGAAGCTGTACCTTGCCTCCTCGAGCGAGAGGACTGCTGCACTTTCCTCCTACGCCAGGACAACCCACGACCGTGATTATTGACGCACGAGTCAGGATTCCGGCCACAGAGCCCTTGACGCGTGCACATCGCGCGACCGAAATAGAAAAGTGCGCATCCCCGTGAACATGGAAGATTGTCGGGGCGCGTGAATCGCGTGACAAAATTAAACTTTCGTGCGATAACGCGGAAGATATCAATCCTGATGTAAAATGCGTGGCGAGTATTGGAAAGGATCACGGCTGATATTCAGAGCGTAGACCGCAAAGAGCGAGTCGTCGACGGCGACGGAGTAATTTGGGAATGACATATTTGACGGTGAGAAAACGGCTTTTTAATCTCTTCTTAATCTGATATCCAGCCACAAACATGAGGAGAAAGAGAATGAAATCGACGAACGGTCTCACCAGTCCCGCGCGAGCTTTTCCGCGAGCGAATTATCCGTCGCGATTCAAATGCCACGTTCGTTTGTCATCGCCGATCGATTTCGAACGAGCTGACGAAGTACTTTGTCGCCTTTGTGCCGCCGGCCGCGATTCCGTCGGAGAAGGGAGGAAGCAAGGAAGGAAGGAAGGAAAGGGGGAGGCAGGAGGGAGAGAGGGAGGGAGGGAGGAAGTTAGCGAGCGAAAGAGAGAGAGACAGGAGAGGAGAAGGAAAAGTACACGACCTCCTGCGTCACGACGCCGGTGGGGACGTCGAGACGGCCCTGAACAACGCGGAGAGACTACCGACCCAAGGACGTCGCGGGTCCCAGAGATTCCCTCGACCTCTCCTCTCCTCTCTTCTCTCGCTTTCTCACTTTTCGTGCGCCCTGCTCTCTCTCTCTCTCTCTCTCTCTCTCTCTCTCTCTCTCTTTCTCAGTCGTCGCGGTCCCCCTACGCTTTCCGCTCTGCCGAGGGGGACCACAGAGTGCTTTTCTATCCACGGCCACCGGGGCCCTTATATTTAGCCTTCGGCTTGTAACGGTGGATTTAACCGGCGGTGAAGTCGAATTGTTGCTTAATTGTAACGAGAGAGAGAGAGAGAGAGAGAGAGAGAGAGAGAGAGAGAGGGGTGGGGACGAGAGACGATGCAATGTATCATTTAGGGAAGGCATACACCGATGTATAATTTAGGAAATCTTGAGCTTGGAGAAGCGACGAAGCCAACGTCGGGCGTTCCCCGGGCAAGTCGGCGACGACTTGTTCTCGGGGACACCTTGTATGTATCGTGTGTATCTGGTGAGAGAGCGTTTGAATAGGATCGAGGAACGACTCGGATTTGAAGAATACGCCCGCTGATTCATTTCCATTCGCGTCGATTCGCGTCTTACCGACCCCGCCGCCGCGCCGGGAGCCGGACGGACGCACGTCCGGGCACGCCGGGAGAAGTAGTTAGTCGTACGCTAAATCACCGGAGAGAACAAGCCCTCCCCCCTCCTCCGCCGCTGCTCCGGTTCTTAACTTCAACATTGTTCAGCAGGCGGTGCTGCTTCTCGACTCGACTTCAGCTTGTGTGGCTATAGCTTGAGCTTCAGCTACTTCGTAGCCAAAGTATCGACGTCCCTTCCCAGCTATATCCTTACAGCATCCCTATTTCGGAGCACTCTGCCAGAGCTGCTGCGGGCTCTCCTCCGTTTCGCCCTTGGTTCTCCTAGCGGTTGGTCGACCTTTCCTTCCTCCCTCCCTCACCGTCTCTCTAACGGAGATGGGCCCCACAGACGGTTGCCCTCCGGACCCAACCCCCTCCCCTCCCCCCCCCTCTCTCTCTCTCTCTCTCTCTCTCTCTCTCTCTCTCTCTCTCTTGGCGCCTCTTTCCCCGTCATTTCTCTCACATTCTCTCTGCGTCTCTATCCTTATTTCTCTCTTCCACAGTCGTCTCCGCTTGCCTCCTCTACTTCGCCAAGTTAACACCGCCGATACGCACACATACGTGAACCGCGTATGGCGCTCTCGCACGCATACGATACGCACACCACCGCCACTACCACGGGTCGTGTCCTTCGGACCGTTGCTGCCTCGGCAGTTAGCAACAGCATGGCCGCCACACGGCCGGAAATACCGGGTGTCCGAATACCACCGTTCCACCGAGGAACGCGTCAAGGATTCACGCGAGTAACGAAACGAACGAACGATCGAGCACCGGAAAATAGGCGTCGCCGTCCGCGAAGCGTGAAGAGCGAGGAGAATCTTAACGGTTGACGCGTTAATTTCCCGTTTCGCGGGGAAAAGCGGCGGCCTCTTCTCTCTCGGTCTCTCGCTCCATACCTGTCGTTCTCGCGATCCGCCGCGGTTATCTTTGCGAGAGAGAGAGAGAGAGAGAGAGAGAGAGAGAGAGAGAAAGAGAGCGAGAGAGAGAGAGAGAGAGAAGCTCGCGCCAGGTGCGCGACGAGCCTGAATTCCTTCGGCGAGGATCACCTCGCGCACGTTCGAAGCGTGAATACATAACTCGCGTAAAAGACATCGAAGGAATTTTTTCGAGAAAGAACTGAAGCATGCTGAAAAATTCTACCGATGTTAAATATCTATGCGTATGTTTTTTGTCTCTCATTACCCGATATTTTAATCACTGTCCGCCATATTTCACAGACTACTGCGAGAAACAAACGATAAAAGTGCGTTTCCTCGCTCCTTGGAAAAACTTCGTCGTCGTCGATCGAAAACGACACTTGTAGGGTTATTTATTATACCGGGATCACACATACACACACGCTTCCTCCCTCCCCCCCCCTCTCTCTCTCTCTCTCTCTCTCTCTCTCTCTCTCTCTGTATATGTGTCTATGTTTCCGTCTCTTTTTCCCTCGATTCTCCCCGCGGTTGTGATCGAGAAATACCTTCGGCTCTATAATATCCTCTTTCGTCCATCCGCCGAGTCTCGAATATACCGTGGATCCGTGCGATACCTCGCGAAAAATGATAGTCGTCGTCCCCGGGGCATAACTCGTAATCCCGCCTGAGAGATTAAGCTTCTCTTTCACGGCGAGGATCGACAGAGGAGGAAAGGAGAAAAGAGAGGAAGATGGAGAAAGAGAAAACGAGACAGAGATTTTCCTTTCTTTTGTGCCCGCTGGATGGCCATTACTCCATCGGACAATTGCATCGCGCTCGCCGCGGAAAATACATTAGATATAACGGCGCCAGGCGACTGCTAAAAATTGTTTGTATTCAGCGGAATTCAATGCGACGTTTAAATGCGAGACTCGCGCGCTCGCGTGGAAATGCCTGTACAGAGGAGACGGTCGCGTTGCGCCGATTGGATTAACCGTACCTGGACGCGCGCGTGCGACGTTTTTCTTCCCTTTTCCTCCTCGCGTCGATTCTTTGTGCGTTTTATAATATACGACGTCCCCCCCTCGCCCTTCGTGACGCGCGCGCATCTCCTCTCAATCGCCGATACTGGACTCTGTCGACTAGACTAGGCGTATTAAACGTCAGATTCGGAAGATTGATGCTCATGGCAGCGCGGGAAGAATGTCGTTTGCGTTCACCGATCACTCGACTCGGCAGCGAGTCGTGGGACGCGCGCGATATCAAAAATTGGCGAATCGCGCGAAAATGGAGGCCTGCGTCGTCCGCGACTTACGTGCGTTTTCATATAAAAGAGACGATCTCGCGCGCGGCTCGGAGTCGCGCTGGAAACGGTGGAGGTAAATCCGTAAAAATGGATTTATCTAATCTTCGTGAGAGCGCGCGGTCGCGCGCGCGAAAAATACGAAAATTCCGCTTCTTGTTCTTGTCGGCGGTGCTCTATTTTTAAGCGGCGGTCATTCCTTCCTACAGCCGCATGACGCTCTTTCACGAGCGTCTCTGACGCGAATCTCTCGTTCTAGGGCTCGTTATAGGGAGAATGATCGCTGAAAAATTGATCCGCCGCTCTTTCAGGAGAAATGTCTCGCCTTGATTGACCTTTGATTAATTTGGCGAGAGCTCGTGCGAGGAGAGCGAGCCTGCCCCCCCCCGTCGCGCGCGCGCGTAGTCGTGGCCGAGAGACGGTATCGCGGGGGTAAATTAGTTTATTCTAAAATTGGTTTACTTTTTACCCAAGGATACTGTTATGCAAGAGCGTATCCTTATCCCCGCTGCGAAAGCGCGATACATTTCCGATGCATTAACGTCACAGTTTCGCGGCACAGAACGCGCCGGTCGTGTCTGGCTCGTGCCTCGCCAACGGAATATCATCGATCGTATCTTCGGTAGCGGGTGTGCATTTATAGTCTCGCTTCCGCATAGCACGAGGCGCGAGATACGATCGCATTTCGCTAATAAAAATTCACTCAACTTACAATTGCGTTCGCGCGCGCACGCGCGTAGTAACAGCTGTGTATCGTTATTTCTCCCGATCAGCGTAACGATCGACGCTCTCTTCGCTCTTTCTTTTGCTTCGTCTCTTCCTGTTTTTTACAAAACAATGACGACGACGCACAGGAAAGACTGCGTACACGCTGTCGGTGTCGGCAGGCTTAAAACCGCACCTTCGTCTCTTCTGTTCCAGGAGAAGAATTCCTTCCTGAATTACAACGTGTCCTGCATCCTGACGCTGCCACCTTATCAGAGACAGGGCTACGGACGGCTCCTTATAGATTTCAGTGAGTATACGCCAGAATCTTTGTTCATTCCTACCTAACCTTGGTTCCGCCCGGCCCAAGGCGACAGCGATGACGACATCCTTCCGTTCATCGAAATCGAAAGGATAACCGAATTAGGAATAGGAGAACTCGTGCCTCCGCACGCCTCCGCGGTTTCGCGACGACGACGACGACGACGACGACGACGACGACGACGATCGACGGAGGACCACGTCGTCGCAACGTCATTGCGACGAATCTGATCATTCGACGGACGGAGGAGCCCCCCCCTCTCGACGTTCTTGGCCATTAAACCGCCGGAAGAGCGAATAAAAAGCCTCGAGTTTGCACGCTATTAACGTCAATACGTTCTCTCTTTCTCTTTCTGTCGCGACGTGAGGCGCGCTTCTCCGTGGCTTCCCGACTCATCGTCCGAAGAAACTTCGCCCACCCTCTCACGTCGCGAAAGTCACCTGCGGCTCTAATTCGAGTCTGCTAATTAACGACCTCGCTTTTAGAAATTGTGACGTTGCTCGGAACAATTGGGATGTCGCCGGTGAATGAATTGTTCCGCAACTTGAGCCAATTATGAGAGAGCAAACAATTGAAATATAAATATGTGTTTCCCGGGAATAAAGATTTATTATTATTATTATTATTATTATGTTTAACGAAGACTAATTAAATATCAGTCAAGTATCCGCCACGACTGTATATTTCAAACATCTAATCGAAGGAAAATGCACGAACCCTGACCGCTTTGAACAATATGTTTCTCATTGCCCACAATGTTGCACCGCCATGAAGATTAATTGCACTCGAGATTAGATGAGAGGCGGTAGAAAAGTGTTCTCTATACTTCGAATCTCTAATCAAAGGGACACAACCCCGGTCGCATTGAGCAATTGGTCTGCTCGCAATTTATTATCGTACCTCTCTCTTCCTCCCTCCCTCTCTCTCTCTCTCTCTCTCTCTCTCGACATGATCGCGATCGAAATTTATCACGAGGTCACGCGCGAACGCGCGATCGCGCATAGCTCTTTTGCCCCCATCCTTCAACTCGCGCCAATTTCTGACGCGTGGAGCGCGATTCCTCGTCTACGTCGTCGTCGTCGTCGTCGCCGCTGCCGCCGTCGCCGCCGCCGCCGCCGCCGCCGCCGCCGTCGCCGTCGCCGTCGCCGGCGGCAACAACACGCACGTACATACACGCGTACGCATACGCCTACGCACACGCAAGTAGGCGCGCGCGCGCGCGCGCGCACGCGGCGCCTGTACTCGTTTCGACGAAGCGTAGCGTTGATAATTAAACGTGGGGCTTTTTGCCGTGACGTCATTTTCATTGATGCCGAGCGAGCTGCAGCGTCGGGCATCGCGGCGCTACTACCGGTAGTAGTAGGGGGTGCGTCGGGGGTTGGTCGGGGGTCGACGTACCGTGCCGTGGAGTGCCGGTCGGTCGGCGGCGGGGTGGTCTCTCAGCCCTGCCGGCTTTTCCGCGTGTGAGACGGGCACCTACCCCTCCTCTCTTGTCTGCATCCAGTGTCGGTGGCATCGACTCCGCCGCCGCCGCCGCCGCCGCCGCCGCCGCCGCCGCCGCCACCGCCACCGCCACCGGCTGTATTTTGCCGACTGTACAAGGCCGGCGCTACGAGCTCGCGCACCCCTCTCGTCCAATGAATCCGAAATAACGTTTATTCTTGCGCGGCACGCACCGCAAGGTGCGTGCACAAAACGGATTAGCCGGTCGGCTAACGAAATCCGAGACCGTCGGGACGAAAGCACACGCTCGAATTTGTCGGAATAATTTCCCGAAAGACATTCAAGCTCCGGAACGCGCCGTGTTGTTGCTGTTTCGTCAATTATTATCGCGTCATCTCATTATCTCATGGATTCATCCATCCATCGATCGATCAGAGCGAGTCTCGGTTTCTCAATAGCCTTGATACACGAGACTCGCGATATTCGTCCTTTGCGAAAAAAGCGATCACTGCTCACAGAGCATTGCGGATGTAGCCTCGCGCCGGAAGCCTCCGGAAAGATTGAAACACGGGCGTATCGATACCACCATCGTAGTACCGTGGTATCGTTAGCGTCCCTGGCTGCTAGTAATGATGGTGGTAGAGGTGATGGTGGAGGAGGCGGTGGTGATGGCGGTGGCGGCGGCGGCGGCGGCGGCGGCGGTGGCGGTGGCGGCGGTGGTGGTGGTAGTAGTGGTGGTGATGGTGCGGCGGCGGCGGCGGCGGCGAGGTAGCGTATAGAGCGTAGGTTGGAGAGCGAAGTGGCTGCGGAAAGTGCGACGCCCGGCGTCTCGCCGCATCGATCGACCCCTACAGTCGCCGCCACCACCGCCGTTGCCGCCGCAGCCGACGTCGCGTACACGCGTGCAAGCTACGCGTACACCCGCGCTTCCTGTCTCACGCACGCGGCGCGTCCTCTTCCTCTCCTGGGCAACCACTCTCTCGGTACACCTTGATCCTATAGCAGACTCTCCTATACCTGCCGCACCTCCCCAGCCGCCGCCGCCGCTGCCGCCGCCGCCGCCGCCGCCGCCGCCGCGACTCGCCGATCCCTTCTTTGCTGCCTGCTCTTCGTTCTCCTCTCTCCTCCTTCTCGTCCTCCTGTACCTCGATCCTCTTCCTCCTCTCCGTTGGCGGTACAGAGCGCTCATAGGGCTCGGAATCGTATGACCTCTCGTGACCTCGCTCCACTACCCCCACGTAGGATTGGCAGGGTCACCGACGCCCTTTCCCTACGCCTAGGAACGAAGGGTATCCCGTACGCGATGGCAAGGTAGAAGGGCGGGTAGAGTGCTGAGGGAAAGGGAGGGAGGGTTGCTTTCCCGCAACGTTGCTGCGACCGGGTAGCGGGGTTGGTGCGGCATGCAGCATCTCCGAGCAGAGCAGCAGCTTCGTCGCAGGACGAAGGGCGGGTACGCCGTCGCTCTCGGTGTCCCGTCAGACAGACGGGCACCGGTCCTAGCCTTGACGTGATACTCTTTTTTTTTTTTTTTCTCCGTCTTTCGCCTTCGGATCGCCGTGATATCTCCAAGACGAATCGTCCTAACTGCGGAGAGAAATTGCGTTCGTGCGAGGGGAGAGCTTTCCCCTCGGCGGCATTTTTTAAAGTCTGCGCATACTCGGCTATCGCGCGCGCGCGAGAGAGAGAGAGAGAGAGAGAGAGAGAGACCGCGGTTTTTCCCTTTCTCTTTTCTCATATTGCCCCAAATAACGACGTATCGTCCGCGGTAATTGCGGATCGCTCATACAGATAATTACCGTTATGCGCAACCTCCTGACCTTACTTCCCCCGTGGTCTCTCGTCGTGTCAGAGACGAATATGCACGACGACTCGTAAATCTTCGTTGGCGATTCCATAACCGAGCCGACAGACAGACAGAGAGACGAAGAGAGGGAAAGAAAGCGAGGCAAAACGAGTCACTCTCGACAGTGTCCAATTTCATCGTTCGCGCTCTTTCGCGAGTCGCACCCTCGCGTTCGCCCTGCACCCTTCATCGAGCCGACCCTGTGAGACCGGGACGTTCCTCTCGCGCTCTCCTACCTCCCTTTCTCTCTCTCTCTCTCTCTCTCTCTCTCTCTCTCTCTCTCTTCCTACCCCGTCGCACCCACGTACCCTGTTACGCCGATCCATCTTCCTTTCTCCCTCCTCCTCCTCCTGACGCGGTCACCGTTTTCCTCTTTCTCGAATTTCCACCCCCTGCCAGTTCTCCGACCGTGCGCCCCCTCCGCGCCGATCCCAAAAGTCTGCAAACTGAACGGACGCGTAATGAATGCGTTCAACCCTCCCAAAGTAATCAGCGACGGAGGGAGGGGGAGGGCAGGCAGGCAGGCAGGCAGGCTGAGAGCTCGGAGCACCGAAGGGAGAGGGTAGTCTGCGGAACGAAAACCGGAGGGGGCGGGAGTGATCACGGAGGGTAGAAGTGTCCTCTCTGCCGGCGGGAGATACACGGTCCACGAAGGTGGAGGAGATGGAGCGGCGTGGAGCGCCCAGGAGAGAAAGAGAGAGCAAGAGGGGGAGAGAGAGAGAGAGAGAGAGAGAGAGAGAGAGAGAGAGAGAGAGAGAGAGAGAGAGAGAGAGAGAGAGAGACAGTGGCATGGTCGTTGAACCCATCGCCGGCCGGGAACGCTCTGGAACGAGGAACCGAGGGATACAGGATCGCTTTCCTGGTCCGGGTATATGTCCTCCCTCACTTCCTCCCTGTCTCTTTCTCTCTTTCTCGCTCGCTCGCCGCCCTTGCCCGCGGGATAAAAGAAACGGGAGTAGTCGCACTCTTCTCGTACTTGGGCGCTTTTAAAACGGCTGCGAGGAAACGTCGAACAAGATCCGATCGAGCGGATCGTCCCGTGAGATCGAGCGATCGTGAATACACGCGTGATGAGTACGCGCAAGCTCCATGCAACCTCGGCTGGAGACGAATTAAGATCGTTGGAAATTCCATGCCATGAAAACATCCCACAGCGCCTCTCTCTCTCTCTCTCTCTCTCTCTCTCTCTCTCTCTCTCTCTCTCTCTCTCTCCCCCCTCTTCCCCTTCCTCTCTCTTCTACCTGTGATAACTGTACAAGGTTCCAGCTTTGCCGTATCACGAATATTAGACCCGTTACATTAGTCGCTTGAGCGACGCGTTAAAGTACGCGAGGAATTTCAACCTTCCCCATTCTGCTGATCCTTCAAGACACGGAGCGATCGCGAAGGCGTGGTGAACGTTCACGACGGATGTTGAAGATGTCGAGACGCGATCACGATTAAAGTATCCCGGAGCATCTGGAAGATTAAGAAACCGAAATATGAACGATCAACGGACGCCCCCTCCCCCGGCTCTTCTCCGCGTGTATAAGCCGTCAGGAAGTCAGCCGTAGGTAACCTCTCGACATTTAATTAGCCCGCGCTCTGTTCCATTAGCCGCACGAAAACAGCACATCCAGAAGTTTAAATAAACGTCTTTGGCCGACGAGATTTATTCGGCGGAAGACGACGGCGCGGCGCGCGGAGATCACTTTGCTAATGAAGCAGCTTTTGAACTCGCCGCGGAGCGGAGACTGTAATTTCGGGAATGCGCCGGCGGCGAGACGTTAACGCATACGGAGCGACACCCGCCGATATCCGCCGTGAATCCCGGCGACGACGAGTCCGTACGGTACCGTATTATACTCACGGCAGGATCAGTTATATTCATAATGCAAGATGCAGTTACTCTGTGCGGTTCTCTCTCTCTCTCTCTCTCTCTCTCTCTCTCTCTCCTCTTCTGACGCAAAACCGAACGAGCCGAGCGCGCGCGAGCAAGCAAACGCAGGCCATTAAATCCCGCGGCGTTTCTCGAGATTGACTTTTACATATTCTAGCCTGAGTCTCGCGGATTAGCCTTGTCTCGCAGTAGTTTCGCGCATTCACGGCGGCTTATATCGCTTTACGGAGAGACACATGTGACGTCCCGTCACATTGTCACCGGTGGCGGCGGCGGTGGTGACGGCGACGGCGCGGTGGTGGAGGAAGAGACGCGCGACTTTCAGATTCGTGCGCGCGCAAACATTATTAAAATCTGCCAAAGACCCTCGCGAGGAAGTGCGCCAAAGTCCAGATTCACCAGCATTAGAAATGTTAATTTGCCGATTAATCGTCCCAGGAGAAGAGAAAGAAAAAGAGAAAGAGAGGGAGAGATAGAGAGAGATAGATAGAGAGAGAGAGAGAGAGAGAGAGAGAGAGAGAGAGAGAGAGAGAGAGAGAGAGAGAGAGAGAGAGAGAGAGAGAGAGAGAGAGAGAGAGAGAATCCCGCAGTCGTCAGCGTGTTTCGTCGATCGGTAATCCCTCCCGAGAAAGTCGACTTAATTATTCGTCGCAACTTTTCGGCTCCTCCGACCTTTCGACTTTTCCAGCGTTCAGCTCGTTAAGCTGACCAAGCTGCGAATTGAGGTGGACCGTCGTCCGAGCGTATAAAAGGTCCGCTTTTACATTCCTACGATTCTCGATCTCGGGCGTCGTCACGTCGCGTTGCCAAAAGAGCGCGCGCTATCGATCGCGCGTCGCGCGAACTTTAAACTCGCGGCGCGTTATCGATCTCCGCTCGGGTTGCGGTAGATCTGGATTTGGCATTTAAGTTACCCTCTGAAAACGGGTCTTTAACCGGTTCGTCGGATAATTCCATTGACGTGGACGGATGCGCGCAACGGACGATTTCGCCGATTCACCGGTAGACGACGAACGAGCAGGCAGGCAGGCAGGCAGGCAGGCAGGCAGGTAGATAGGCAAGCACGAAACGCCTCGGGATGCTCTCTCCTCCATCTGTCTATACATTTTTCTTTGATGCCTCGTCGCAGAATACTTCGGACAAACGAGGCGGAACGGACGTTCAACCGGGAGCAGACGGGCATCGCCAGTGCCGAGTCTGTTCCTGTCGGGGGCCCTCGCACTCTAGCTCCTCCGACACGTTCGCGGCTAGAAAAGAACATCCGCCACCTGTACGCACCGATGTAAATGTATGAGTCTCGTCGTTCAATCGCGTCCCAGAAAGCTCGCTCGCCAAAGTCCTCCGGTGTGGGACTGTCGTCGACTTGCCGTCGATGTTGAGAATTCACATGGCTTGACTCCACGAAGACTCTTTAATTTCCCTTGTTTTCCCCGACAACTGCACCCCAATGTTTTTCGCAATTAATCACCGCTGACACGGATCCAGCTAACAGTCTCGCGAATAACGATGGAAAACACCAAATGTGTTGGAGTTTCCCGACAAGTTCATCAACTTTGTGCACGCAGCTTGATACGCACACACTGTTCATTCGTCAATTAATTTTCATTCGCGATCAGCTGGTGGTTTCTCACTCGGCTCGCTCGCGAGAGAAGAACGACGTGGACGCTCAGTTTCGTTCGGAAGGATCCGAGGAGAAAGGGAGAATCGGGAATCCTATACGCCCTCGCGTATAGGATTCCCTTCAGTCAGGAGCAGCCGCGATCGATTGTTGCTCTCCGCAACAGTGTGTCTCGAACTGAAATCGGGATTCCATTTAACGCGTTTAACGGCCCTGACGGGCCTGAGAGATAATGCAGCTCGTGCATAATACGCGAGCGGCGCAGCCCGCACGTGCAGGAAATAGGCGGCACTTTGTTTTCCGTCCGCGGAAACGCAACAAGGTACCGAGACGTTGTTAATGCAACGATCGCGCGCGTTGCTTATCGCGCGATTCCTCCTCCTTCGCGGAGCGAAGTTTTCCACGAGGAGCTTCGACCTGCGACTCGGACTCTGACGGCTTTTCGTTTTCTCGTTTTTCCCTTTCAGTCAACAGTAATAAATCGGAAGGAACGCCTTTACGTCGCGTCAGGATACACGGTCGTTTCTTCGGGAGGGTGCGACGCGCCTGATGGTGCGTTTTATCGCTTTCGCCGCTATTTTTATGGCAATCGATGCGCGACGCTTTTTTATCGCTCGTCGAGCTGGCGCGCGCGCGCGCGCGCGCGTCCGCGCGGAAAATCGGTGCGTGCGTTCCGCCGCGATTCCGTAAAATCCAGCCATCTGATTGACAATGGTTATATTTGCGCCGCAGGTTACCTGCTGACGAGAGTCGAGAAGAAAATTGGCTCTCCGGAGAAGCCGCTGTCGGACCTGGGCCTGATCTCGTATCGCAGCTACTGGAAGGACGTTTTGCTGCAGTACCTCTGCAATTTCGGCGGCAAGGAACTCTCCGTCAAAGGTAGGTCACGCGAAGCGCTGCGCCGCAGCCGCCGCGTTTCGGGACGGCGCTTAAATATTCATGTGCGGATCGAAAGTGTACAAACGCGCGCGCGCGCGCGCGGCGCGGCTCTCTTCCACTTTGAGCCGCTAATTTGACGGCTGGCTTTCAAGCTGCAATATTAATCAAATTGTATTATGAATATCGCGCTCGCTCTGCGCAACGCGAGAGGAGTCCTCTTTCGGCACCTCTCTCGACTCGCATTCGGTCAACGGAGACTTGCGCGCAAACGTTTGTTGCATTCGGACTTTGAGATACATCTCTCTCTCTCTCTCTCTCTCTCTCTCTCTCTTTCTTCACGACGAAGCGAGCTTTTGACCTATTTGATTATTTTTTAAGATTTAAGAGAGTTTCGGTCGCTTCGAATCGCGGGAGCTTGCTGCATTTATGATGGAATTTGCGCGGGATTATTAGATAATAATCCCTGTGTTTCTGTCTCGATGGAGATACCGGCAGATTCCATTTTAGGTTTTGTACCTCGAGACGAGGAGAGACTCGTCAGCGGGGGATTAACACCGCATTGCTATCGATCCGATGGTCAAGTTTTCCCGACGTAACTGGTTTTAGCGGTTGAATAATTGTATCCACGGGGCCAGGATAAACCGCCCCACCCGCCGAGAACCGCAGCGGATTATATATGATTCATCATTTCCGCATTTTCGCGACTGCTACTGCTGCAGACCTTCATTTAAGTGTATTATCATTTATCGCATTTACAACGCGGAGCGTCGCGCTCCGTTGTGAATGCGATTCAATATAAAATCGGTCGACGCGAGTATATGTGTATTTTTGATCGAGAATCTTGAAACGTCCGAATCGAACGTGACTAATTGGAAATTTTCGTCACCAGCGGATCATCCCCGAAAATGCGGTTGCTCGTTTCTCGTTTTCCCCAACAACTCTTGATCATGTTTTCGTTTCTTAGCGCGTGAAATGTCATCTATCGCCGATAGATTCACCTAGGTGCGGCAGGTATCACTTCACGCGTGTTGACGTCAGCACGTCAATTTGACGCGCCTGTTAAGCGACACGAGCCGCTTAATGTTGGGCCGTTTTGAGATTTTCTCCTCGAGGGTCGAGGGTGTGCGTGCGCGCGAGACGAATTGAATAATTTTTCTTTCAGATATCAGCAAGGAAATGGCCATCGACTCGTACGACATTGTCAGCACTTTACAGGCCCTCGGTATGATGAAGTACTGGAAGGGCAAGCATATCATTCTGAAGAAACAGGTAGGTGCGCTCTTTTGTTATTGTAATTCGCCGCGCAGACGTGAGTCTGCTCTTCCTTGCGCCTTTTCCTTGCTCTCGCGAGGAGGGATAAGCGTGTCCATTCTTCCTCGCGAATTATCGCGCCCGGTTTCAGAAATCTGACTGCTGAAAACAACGCGACGCGAAGAGGCGCGAAGAGGAACTTCTCGTTCCGAGAGAAGTCCGAGCGAAGTGTCGTCGCGATTTTTACTCGCGTCGCGTAATTTATCGACGACGCGATCAACCGAAAGAGGACTGAAATTCTCGCACGGTATTATCGCGGTTACAAGCAACGCTCCGTCGCGGAGCACGTCGGCGGTTACGTCGTCGCGTTTTTTGTCCTTCTCGTGTTACTGCCGCAATGAGAGAAACAGAGAGGTGTGCGAGACGATAGAGAAATCGCGTTTGACGATTTCGCCTCGCCGGCACTTAAAAACAAAAACAGCTCGTCGCCTAAGAGGGATCGTTTATCAAAACTCGCGATCTCCCGATCAAGTCGAAAGCTCGCCAGATAATATATCGTATCTTCTACCTGTTTCGTACTTTGAGACCTTTCGATCGAAAATAACGTATCGTAAATTTGGCCGGCGAGCGTGATTTCGAGTCGACATATCGAGAATAAGATGAATTTCTCAAATTGACGTATTGAAAGAATTCACAAAAAGATTTCACGCGGTTCTCCACGCGAATAATGCAGACATCGCAGAAGGAGGTTTCGATCAACATCCTATAGAGTGAGCAGCAACGAGAATAATCCGACGCGACTAGACGCAGAACCGCTAATTATTATTCGACTGATTCGTGTCCGTAACGTTCCCTCACGACTGCGTCGACGCACAGCCGTTGTGTATCGTTCTCTAGAACGATACACAACGGCTGTGCGTCGCGAACGCGGCAGAGTTGGCGAGGCAAAAGGGACATTGAAATAATTTCAGGACGTGATCGACGACTACAAGGAGAGGGTGAAGAGACGCGGCCCCGTCTACAAAGAGATCGATCCGGAGTGTCTGAAATGGAACCCCTTTCAGCCGCCCAAGACACCCTCCGCCTCGAACTAAGACCTGCGGAAACCTGGAGCTACGCCACCCTCTTGCGCTCTTGGCGAAGGAACTCGCCTCCGAACGACGCGCCTCGATTCTCATCGTCGTCGTCATCGTGTTCATTCGTGTCTTCGGACTCCTGGTCAGTTCTCGCGAAGCGGGGATGCCGCCACCGGCAGATTTTCACGCCCATGACGTTGGGTAAGAGCCGTGGAAATCCTTCCGGGAGCCACCTCATCCTGTCCGGAGCTTGCGGCAAACTGCGATGAGTATCGTATTTTATTGGCGATATCGTTAAGCCTCGCCGCGAGCAGGACTTTCCGTCGATTTAAGAGCGCTATTACGGCGGCGAGTTCAATTTGCAGACCCCGACTATTGACCGTTGCGGCAAGCAGGAAAGCAGGAAGGGACGAGGCTTGAAATATCATTACATAACGTACGATCATTTCATATTCTACGGGGTGTCTACCGCTCGGAGAAACCTGAAATTCTCAGCGAATCCTCCTCCTCCCAACGGGAAAGCGAGAGAAGTTCCCTCTCGGGAAGTTTTCCTTGAGATTGTCTCTTCAAAGTTGTAGTCTTTATTTCGGCCGGAAGCGGCCGAGAGTCGAGAGGAAACTCTTCGCATCTCCTTTCGACATTTTAAAATTTAATATTTCGTAAACTGGAATGAGGCTCCTTTGCTTTTTCTCCTTCCCGATCAGGAAAAACACTAGAAAGCTCGCGATAGACGAATTTGCCTTACACTCAAGAGAACGCGCTAATTTAACTCGCAAATTTAATCGAAAATTCCGGCAAAATTGTGCAATCTGAAGACTTTTTATTCGGGGAATATAAAGACGATATTGCTAAATCGACGCGGCGATAAACCTCCTTTCCTCTTTCTGGTCTATCTGTTTCTCTCTCTCTCTCTCTCTCTCT